CAGGGCGGTCGGAGCCGCGGGCCCAGCTCTCCTCGGGGACGGGGGAGAGGAGAGCAAGCCTGAAGAAGCCTCTCTTACCGTATCACCCCAGCGCCCTTCGGCACCGAAGGAGGACACCTCCCCCTCATAGCATACCCGGCTTCCAGCCCTGCTGATTTGCACAATATAGCTCTTAAGCGTTGACATTTCAGGAGTTAAATCTAGTTCCCGCAAGATAAAAGCGACTCTCAGCGCAGCTCCAGCACACTTTCTGAAAGGCACTTGCCAAGACACGGAAAGCCAGTGAAAAACCTTAAAAGTTGCCCGAGTTTAGAGCATCGATGTGTGGAAGAAAATACGAACGTGTCCATATACTTGAGTTTCTGCTTCGTTCACAGACAAAAAAACTGCAGCAAAATTTAAGACTAACTGTACTGAGAGAAGACTGTTTTATTATGAGTAGATACAGTGAGAGCAGATACGAGCAGCTGAGAACAGACTTTTACTTCACAAATTCATGCTGAGATGTTACCGTCCTACATTACACAATTGGTTCTCAGTCCATTTTGCTTACGGAAGAGGGATGTAGGTGTACAGGTTAAGGAGTAGCTGTTTGCTCATGCAGCTAGCTATGAAGGCTACTAAAAAGCCTCCTGCAGATTAGACAAGCATTTTTCTTTAAAAAAGCACATTCTTAGATCCAGGTGCAACAAGAGTAGGCTTGTGTAATGCATTAGTACTCAATTGCCTGTATTTGGTATTTTAACAGGTTAAAGCCAAGTAATGTTTTAAACAAAAGCTCCTTCAGGCACCTTCTACAGAATCATTTCTTTAGAAGTTACGTGTGGAGTGACATGTTCTCCACCTAAGTTTTGTGTATCTTAAGAAGAGGGTTCCTTGCTTTGTATCTCCTGAAGCTGCGTAGGTCAAATGCATGGAGAAACTACTGTCCTTTATGAGTTTTTCTGTGGAATTTTGATTGTCACCTGGAAAAGAAATGTCACGAGTTAGTTTCCTGTAACTGGAGACAGGGCTCAGTTTTGTTCACTGGCGAGCAGAGAGGAGCAGCATTACGCAGGGGAGAACAAGAACCAGACGCCAGTATAAACACTGTTCCCTACAGCCAGTGCATTCCCGGCACACACTCCTTAGGGAGGAATTCTGTTCTCCACAAAATAAATTCACAAAGGAGTCAATACACTTACATTCTTTACAGTAAGAAACAGCTAAAGTGATCACTTGAAGACAGGGCCAAGCGGTGCAGGCAACTGGTAACTAAGACCCCTAAGTTTTATTCCAACTGTGGAATTAGGTCACATATCCTTATTTTCCTCAGCAGTACGAAACAAGACTAGCTTTCTGTTTGCATACAGTTACATGGAGTTTTGTTTGCAGTTATTTAGAAGTGCAGCTCCAAATTTGTTTCAAGCATTAGAAAGAAGAATTGCAGTCTCAAGCCAGCTTATACCAACAGGCTCATATACAATTTGGCAGTACAGCAGACAGTTGGGAAGTACTCAGATACCTGGATACTCACACTTTTCACCTCTATGTATGCATCAAGACCATATTCTCCCAGCTCTCGCCCATTCCCAGATGCTTTGTAGCCACCAAATGGGGCTTGTGCACCGAACACATTATAACAATTTATCCTGAAAAGGAAATAAACTGTTAAGCATCTATAGTTTCAGGACTGCTTAACGGAAAAGTCCTTTCTCAGCAAACAGACATCTCAGTTGTTTACAAGAGAGGTGCAACTGAATTTCCATCTGTTAGACTGCCAAGCCAACAGAGTTAATCAAGAATACCGGACCCTTAATCAGGACAAAACAGTTTCCCGATCGTCAATCAGGAAACAAAAGATCATGAAACCAATTAATATCTCTCATATCATAGGACCAAGCGTCCAGGTTGCCACCCACATCTCCTTTTAAGGACAGATATCAAGCATGTACTTCACTTAGTACCATTCAAGTTTACTTGCTACCAAACACTGAGATACTGATGTCCAAAACTGCACGTGCTGGAACAGTAAACTGGTGTTCGAAGTATTGCCTTTAGCATAGTCTCCGACACAAAGTACCAGCAATTGTAGCAGCCAAAATTGCACAGACACGCTCATGATCTAATCACTACTGGCACTCAAAGCCCAGTAGTAGTTGCTGTCTTGGCAAACTCTAGTACTGGAACTTTTTTCCCACGCCATTCATTAATTCCCAGGAGGCTCGTGGAAGCTCAATATACCTAAATTTTACCAAAAGTTGGCATTAAAATTCAAGGTCTGGCGTTATATTCAGTGAAGTACATGTAAAATTGGATCTGAAGAAAAGACAAGCTATCAAAGAGTAAGCTTGAATGAGAAATCACAACATAGAGGAAAGCTTCTGGCAGTTTAGAGAGAAGGAGGAAGTGTCGAGGCTCACCAAACTGTTCCCGCTCGCAGTGCCTGAGACACATAGTTTGCTTTGTCAAGATCTTTTGTAAAGACTGCTGCTGCTAGACCGTACTGGGAGTCATTTGCTCTCTCAATTACTTCCTCGATTGTTCTGAACTTCAGGATCTGCATGACTGGCCCAAATATCTAAAAAATCCAAACAGATCACATGAAAATCTGTGTAAATCGATCCCAGGGCAGGCTGTGGTTGATGCTGGAGTTATGTATGCATGTTAGAAGTTACATAGGAGGTCAAATTCAAAGTATCAGTGCGGTCACTTCCAGTATTACAAAGCAGCCAAGATGTAATCTGGAGTGTAGCTTGCTGTGGTAACCTTCTAAGAAGCACTGAGTTCCTATTTCCACTTGCAGCTCATGAATGTCTAGTACTTGTAGAGCTGTTTCTTTTTGCATCAGAAGGGGCAAAATGAAAAGAAGTGAGAAGCTGACAGAAAGATGCTGCAGGTCTCACCTCCTCTCTGGCAATCGTCATGTTGTCCTGCACGTCTCCAAAGACAGTTGGCTGGATGAAATAGCCTCTGTCTGCAGCAGGATTGCCACCACATAGCAGTTTGGCTCCTTCACGCTTCCCAGTATTAATGTAACCAAGTATCTTCTTAAACTGCTCCTCATCTACCTAGAAGCCATTCAGACAGACAGATCAGCTTCATCTTTCCTGGGGGTGAAAGAGAATTCTACTGCAACCTGCTCTGCATGCCACCGTACTCTGTCAACTCCTTGTTTAGATGAAACTGCCCAGCCAGCTTCAAAGGGAGATGATAAAATGCCAGTTTCAAGTGGAGGTTTTGGAAAAATCAGAAAGGCTAATTAACTAAACTGTTCTGCATAAGCAAGGAGATAATGGGCACAGTTCAAAGGAGATTAATCAAGAGACTGAATGAAACCTTTCATTCTAACCTATTGGTACACAACTACTCCAGGTTGGGACTATTTCAGGAGACAACAGTTCAGGAGATTTCCTGCTCTCACCTGAGGTCCCTGCTCAGTTTTAAAGTCAAAAGGGTTTCCAACCACCCTGGACTTGGCTTTCTCAACGCTCCTCTCCACAAACTCATTATATATATCTTCCTGGACATATGTTCGGGATCCAGCACAGCAGCACTGCCCTTGGTTGAAGAAGAGGGCAAAATGGGCTTGCTCCACAGCCCAGTCCACTAATATTGGGGAGAGGAAAGAAAACAAATAAATAAACACAACAAAATCAACCAAAGAATCAACAGATAGCTTCTTTTGAACAATTATCATGCTAACTACTGGAACATCCAGCATCGGTGATACAAAGTCTTTTCAGTTGACAGCGGTTTTTTTTCCGTGCTTTGATAGGACCCCAGTTAAGCACAGACTTAGCATGAAGATCTATATGAGCACCCTATATTAGAGAAAAAAATCTGGACTGAGGCAGATTACAGTTTCCATTTGAAATTATCAGATATTAAGGATAAGGGTTTTTTAGACCTAATAGAGTTTCCTTCCTTACTGCCTTTTAAAAGCATGTGTCTTGCTTTATCAAGACCAAAAGTGAGTTTATATACAAGAGAGAGAACTTGAACTTGATAATACGAGAAAAGAGTGGGAACAAGATGTACGAACTAAGAGAAAGAAAGAAAGAAAAAAAAACAAGAAAGAAGAGGCTGAATGAAAATACTGAAACAATTCTTATTTGTTGATAACGGAACTCCCTCACGCTGCTGGGAAAGAAGTGGGAGTGAAGAAGCGTTGATACACAAATGTGGCAGCTACAGCAGGAGGCACAGGGAGTGTATTGGATGAGGATAGCCAGGTGGTGTCAGAGCTGGAGGCTCTTATGACATAGGGGAGGTTTCCTTTCCCCTCAAGCTTTGCTTGCAGAAAGCCAAAGTAAGAGGTACAGATCAAATATTAAGCTAGCAGGTGCTTACTGTCAGCATCAGACATGATTATATTTGGACTCTTTCCTCCAAGCTCCAGTGTCACCTTCTTTAGGTTACTCTCTGCTGCAGCCTTCTGGATCAGATGCCCAACCTTGCACCAGGAGAAGAACAGGTATTAGGAATTCAACTCCTATGTACTGCAACAACTAGCAGAGCAGTTAGTTTTAGATCTCAGTCAGCAGTTTAATAATAATCCCTTCATTGTCTTGGGCTTTAAGGGAACAACTGAAGTCTGCCCAGGGATTCGTTAGAATAAGGAGCAGCTCAAGGGAAACAATAAGAAGCGCTCTAAAGAAAGCACCTAAAGAGAGTCTTACGTAAAGTAAAAATAAATGTCACACCTTGAAGCCAGTTGTATGTTTTAAAGGAAGTTATAGAAGGCAAGGCAACTCTAGTGTTTTTGTACAAAAGAGCTATTACAACAATGAGATATTCTTTATGTCCCCAAGGGCTTAAAAGTTAAGGTACTCCCTTACCTCTGTGGAGCCAGTGAAGGCCACTTTGTCTACCTCCATGTGGGAAGAGATGGCAGCCCCTGCAGTGGGCCCATAGCCAGGAATGATGTTAACCACGCCGGGAGGGAATCCAGCCTGCCGGTTCACAGCAGGACAGAGCAATGTTAGTCCTATTACAAATCAAAGGTTACACCTACTCTCACCTGTTAGTAATGCTTCAAAATGCAAACCGCAAAGAACAGAGCCTTTTCTACCTCACTTTCATTTCCCAGGTCCTTAGCTTTAAGGTTTAGTTTGCAAGGATGTGGACAGCTTTTCTTCTTTCCCCCTACCCCAAATCTAGTTTGGAGCTACATATGTTAGCTTTCTCCTCACCCTGAAGTACAGCATTCCTCTAGGTAGAATCTAGTCATTCAGCCATATTTGTTATTTCACTGAACCTCAAAGAGTCCTTTCCTAACCGAGAGTGACATCCTCAGCATATGTGTTTAAAAAGACAAGGAGAGTTTTGCTAAATCAAATGCTAAGATACACAAGACAATCCAGTCTTTCTTCAGATCTGACAACCCTTCTCTGTTCCTGTCACATGCAGTCACCAGTTTGGCTGCATCACGCTGCCAAGCCAGCAGTGATAGCGAGGCAGCTGGTTGAAAACCACCTTTTTCTCTCACCTCTTTGACCAGGTTAGCTACATAAAGAGCACTCAGGGGTGTTTGCTCCGCCACTTTCATCACAACCACATTCCCAGTAGCCAGGGCAGGCCCAAGTTTCCATGCTTGCATCAGCAGAGGGAAGTTCCACTAAAAGACAAGGAAATATTTTTTGGTCTGAACTTGTAAGGTTTCAGTTAATCAGTAAGTAACCAGTGAGCTGCATTCAAATCTGCTGCAGCCATTACGGGGCCACTCTTTGATCCTTCCCTAACTGTTCTTCAACACGTTTGGTTCCTTCTCAAGCACTGCCTTCTGTTTGTCCAGGAAAACTGTAATCTGAAGGCAGAGGTCTCGCAATAAGACCTAAAAAACCCAACTTTTCTGGAATTAACTTTCACTGTCAGTTTAGCCATTAAATGCTGTTCTGATCTTTGGAACTATTTTGAAAGAAAGCCTGTTTACAGTGGCAGAGTAGGGCTCACTGAGAGGTGTTGATTCCAAAGTGAGGCATTTCAATTCAATTATTGCTTAATGCAAATATAAAAGCATGCAAAAACAGTACACAATAACCAGAATGTGGGCACTCCTATAAACAGGTAATACTATCCATGGATCATTGTATGATGTGGCTTTGCTGCTGCCAAACCAGCTTGCTACGCTTTTTACCTTCACGGAAATAAGATCACGCACATACAGTTGGGTTTTCCATGCTAGTTCTTTATTTCCTCATCATGCAGAATTTTGTTTTTAATGCTAAATGCTCATTTAAGTAGTAATTTACAATTTAACTGTGAATCCTGCTAATGATTTGGTCACCAAACTGCAGGATTTCAGATGTGTGTGGTAGCAGGATAACTCCTACAAAGATGTTTAAATTCTACTTTTTTGCACACAAATGCAAAAGAAAACAAAAAAAACCCCTCACAGATAGCCCATTAAATCAACAAGTGAGTTCTGTGCTTGCCAGAGCAAAGTAACAGCCCTTCAAGATGGTGCAAGCATAGCTTGCTTTACCACTGGAAGGCAGCAGTTCTTAGCAATGGATAATATCTTGCATTTTAAGACAGCCCTTTATAGCAACACTGAATTCCTGAAATATTGCATATATATATCCTGATATATATATAATCCTGATATATTTTACTCACCGGGATTATCTGTCCACAGACTCCCACTGGCTCATGCCTTGTGTAACAGAAGAAGTCTCCATCTAAAGGGATGGTTTTTCCATGGAATTTATCAGACCAGCCTGCAAAATATCTGACAACAACAACATTTTAGTCACTGAATTTAGAATAACAAGTCTCCTGCCATCAGAAAATAAGAGACATTTCCTTCAACTATTTGCTTCCCTCCCTTTTTCAGTCACTTCTTAAAATACATACTAATGCAAATATTTCCCAAGCAGGTGATGTTAAGAACAGACAGTAAATACAAACATTTGTCTCTTGCATTTGGCAGTGCCTTGCGTAACATACATTCTGTCATGCTGTGGTGTAACACAGATCACCTCCACTACCATAGGTCCTATACATAGTGAGAGAGAAACATACATACATTAGAGAGCAGGCAGGAGCATCCAGTGAAATGCATGAATGTTTTTGATTATTCCTACCCAACCTGACCACAAACCGAGTCCAGTCAGACCCCAGTGTGACCTGCTATGTTTCGGTATGGTCTTTAATATTTCTTGGGGATCTACAAGCAGAGACTTAAGTCACATCAACATCTTTCAGTGATGCGTTCATCTCCAGGTAGACCCATTCCAGAGACCCCTGTGAAGGACCTTGACTGTACAGGTTTCACACGTTAAGAGCTGCTGGCTCAGGGGCAGATTTTACCTTGCTGTGGGCCAAATGCAAGCAAGAGATCAGGTGCAGTCCTGTCAGCCACAATGCTTGAATCAGAGGCATCTGTTTTCCACATACGCAGATGTTCAACTACTGTAGACCAGCTGAACACAAGCTTAGAGCACAAAGTGTTACTGTGCTGTCAGTGTGGCCTCAATGCCTACCTGAGACATTTGACTGCCATGTCCAAATCCACCAAGTAGGCAATAGAGTACGGTTTGCCATTATCCAGAGTTTCTAGCGCCTACAAAAGACAGTGATATTGCTTGAAGAGTGAGGTGGGGAAAGAAAAGTCATGCATACAGGTTTCAAGCCGACTCGTGGTTTGGTCTTTGGATCAGTTCTCCATGTTGGCTTTTGTGCTAACTTTCTGCTTCCCAAAACTACTTCCCCATCCTTTGTAGCCCTCTGAAAAAGCTTGGAGGTGCCTTATTTGAGAAACAGGACAAAGTGAGCAGAGATTCTTTCTCCTTTCCTGGGGCACAGTATATGAACCATTGGTCTCTAATGGTACAGGAGGAAGTTTTCAAACTGAACCAAACTAGTAGTGAAGGATAGCGCTGGCTGGGTCTGTTCTCCAGGCTGGAAGAAGTGATTTAATCATAGGACACATTCTCATTTAGAATTGTAGAAAGATTTAGGTTGGAAGGGACTGCTGGAGATCAATTAGTCCAACCTCCTGCTAAAGCAGAGCCAATTTCAAAGGTAGATCAGGTTGCTCAGGGCCTCATCCAGTCGACTTTTGAAATCTCCAATGTTTTCATACCCCAAAGGCCTATGACAGTCTGCATACAAGTCACAAGATCTGCCTTCTCCCTTCCCACTTCAAGTGTCTTGACGCTGACAGCCAAGGGCGTACAGTGTTCCCTGATGTATGGCCTTATCTTCCTTGGCCTCTGCTCATGTACGCTGTGGCTAGAAATCCCAGCACCCCCCGCAGGAGCAAACTACCCGTCTCTGCCTCTCCCCACCCAAAGTTAGGGACTGCAGCCACCGAGCACGATACGCACCGCCAGGTGAGCCCGGTCTCTCTCAATCAGGTCAGCAAGGCGATTCAGCAGCTTCCCCCGGTGAGAAGCGTCCATCCTTCTCCAAGGCGAGCCCAGCTGGAAAGCTGCCTTGGCTGCCTTTACAGCCTTGTCCACATCTGCCTGTAGAGGAGTCCAGACAAGGAAGGTGAGGAAAGAGTAGCCAACTCCCACCCACACGAGCAGTTAGCTGCTAGGCAGAAAGGACCCCGTTCACAGGGGCCAACCTGGCTAGCCAGAGAGAACGGGAGCAAGAGAGCAGTGCAAACTGACAGACACCTCCAAGTTCCCGACCAGGAGAAATAGGGTAACCTGCAAAAACAGCCAGCAATGCTGCTCTCTTGGCCACATCAAGGTTTCTGCAAAGAAATGGACAAAGAGGCCAGGAGGCAGACTAAGCTAAAGGCTGGGAGTTGTCAGTAATGTCATAATAATCAAAAAAACTCCCTCTCAAAAGACAGCTGAAGCCCTCCCCGGACTCCAGACGAAAACAGCCTCCAGCCAGGTGGCGCAAGTGGGTGCTGGCACCAGCCTTTTCTGGGGTAAGAATTGGCAGCCTTGCTGGCGGCTGACCCATTGCAAAACACGCATCGCTCCCGGACCAGGGAGGTCACGGGCAGTGGCACCTGGAGCACTTGCCCTAAAAGCACCAGCTTGGGCAGCGCTGCACAGCAGCACAGCCTGCGCACAAACGCTGTCCGCTGGCCCAGCCGCGGCTCTCTCGCTCAGGCTCCATTCACACTGCGCTGAAGTCGCAGTGAAACAAATGGGTGCAGCAGCTGTGCAACCACCACCACCGCATGTGCTTACACTCCGTGTTATTTCAGCTATGTGGAGTGCAAACATCATCAAGTTGTTTCCACAATACCATCTGCTGGGTTAATATTTGTATCCTAGAACAAGGCAAAGCAAAAGCTGTAGAGGTCTGCTTTTGATACTATTTCAGAATTTCTTTGATTTCACCAGCAGACGGTCTAAAGGTTTTTTTTAACTTGATCAGATATCTCTGATCCATCATTTTGTTCTGCCATGGCGTTAACTTGTTTCTAGTGGGTTTGCTGTTCAGGCTTGTTGTAACGGCTCGTGCCAAGACAAACCAGTCTCCCACGACCAAGCAAACTACAAAGGATTTCCTTCACTCTCGGCTCCCCTGGAGAATAGGGACAAGTTTCCAGACAGTAGCAGGAGCCCAGAACTGCTGGGAAACAAAACCTCAGCTCTGCCACAGATCCCCAAAAGGGCCTTGGATAAGGTACACGGAGAATCTACTCCCCACCACCTCTCTCTTTCTTTTTTCATTTCCTTGGTCTGTGGATGGTCTCCCACTATGTGTGGACAGCGTAAAGGGGCTGCTCAGGTGAATCCTGTCCTTCTGTTTCCTCCCCACCGTGACTCAGGCTCATACACCCTGGCACAGCATCTGCTGGCTCACAAAGGTGTCCGCGTTCATCCCTGCCTGGCCCAGCAACTTCCATCCTCGATTGCTCCCAAATCTCCAAACACAGGCTCCACTTCACACCACACCTATTCCTCTCCACCCTTTCCAATCCCCCAAACCAGGAGCTCCAATACCCTTCTGTTAGCCTGCCTGTGGCAAAGCCAAGAGGGAATTCCCACTGCGCTAGTACTGCAAAGCGTAGCGGAGTTGCACTTCTAGCCACTGGTAAGAAGCAAAGCCAGAGTGTTTTCTGGAAACCAGTAGACAGGGAATAACAAATGCAGCATTGGACATAGTATTTTTATAGGTCAGACACTTGATTACATGGCACTTTGTATAAGAACATGCTAACTAATCTCTCACCTAAGTAGCTCTGCTATCCCTGCGTATCTGGCTTACGTTGAAAACAGACTCTGATCTCGTCAAGACAACTTTTACCTTATCACCCTCAGCAACCTGGCAGATAACTTCTCCTGTTGCTGGATTGACAGACGGGAAGGTTTTCTTACTGACTGCATCATGCCATTCATTATTTATGAAAATCTGTAACAAAAAAAAGCAAAGCAGCGTTAAGCCTTCAAGCCAGACCTAGGTGGAATCAGAAAGTGCTTTATTTGTTTGATGGCTGGTTAACAGGTTGTTTAACTAGGGGGACTCCATGCCTAAGGATTCCAGAACTGTGCCCCAATATGAAGGAGATATTTTAGTCTGGAAGTACACAACAAAAGACAAAGCCAAGAAGCAATAAAAAGAAGTCACAGCTCAGCAAACAGCAAAGGAATTAGAAGCAGTTCCCATCTCAGGAGGTCCTTCCAAGACGTAAAAGTCTAGCTGGAGTTGCACAGGGATGCTAGGAGGCGCAGGAGACTGAAGGGCAGAAAAATGCTTCACAAGACAGTTGATTTTATACACAGTATTAGAGCTTTTGCAGCATTTCTCTTATTAATCAATTTTACACACTCAACGTGCCTAACATTTTCACTTTGTCCTGAAACAGCATAGCCAGGCACTAGCTTTTCAACCACCCACTTTCCCTTCTCAACAAGAGTGAACTTTTTCACATGTCAGGCCCATAAGATGCCAGAAGCCTCTGCGCAAAGCTTGTGGTGCTTGCCAAGAACTGGCCTGCTCTCACCGATCACTCAGCCAACGGCTGATTTCCTCAAAACAGTGCTGGGTAGGAGTAGCTCAGCAGTTTGGAGATGGACTGCTAGCCCTCTGCCAGGGCATCAGGCAGATGATCAAACTGCGCTTTCCCCGGGACAGCCCTGCCAGGAGAGCACAGTCTAATCTCTGCAGATAACCGGAGTCCAGCAAAATAAATTTCCCTCTGTTCCCATGCCCTACGGCTCACATAGTTTTGCTCTTTGTTCATTTGCGCTGATGTGGTTGGGCAATACGCAGTATCAGGCCGATCACATCAGGTCACACAACTTATGCCTCAGACTGGTTGCTGCGCCCAGAACCATTTTTCCAGTGGGAAGTTCCTGCAACGCAAGGCTTTAGGCCGAAACGTTCCAGTCACCCCGGGGCCCACCGGGCCGCCCCACTCAGGCTTCCCGGGTGCCACCTCGGGCGTCCCGCACCGGCCTGGGGCTCGCAGCCCACGGCC